CACAAAAACTTCTTACCCCCTATTGGTATTTTTTTTTTTTAAATATCAATAGGGGGTAAGAAGTTTTTGTGCAATCATTACATGTTCTTAAATGTTAATGCACTAATATATATTCAAATTAGGAACATTTAGAACATTCCCAAGAGAGATTGTTAGAAAATTTAGAATAATGGAAATTTAAGATTTAGCGTGGAAATGATCAGTGTTGAATATCTAGTGTTTTTTTTCTCATCTTTGAATTATCTTCTAAAACCAACTTCACTTATTTTCGTAGATTAATTTATCTAAATTAGATAATATGAACCATAGGGATAAATTACTTGTACACAATGTTACATTTCTTCATCACTTCATTACTCGTACACAATGTCACAAAATGTAGAATGAAGCTCAATATTGTTCAATATTTTGAGTTGAGAACGCCCATTTTCTAAATACCATTCTTGCTTTTATTGATAAAATGTATAGAAATATCTCTCTGAAGGATAGTAATTAAGCCGATGCATATCTGAAAATTATAATCTTTCCGCTGGGACTTGTCTTTTGATTCAATTAACTGAACGAATATTTGTACAATAAATAATGCTATTCAACAGATGATATCATCCGTCCAAGCATTTTTATTCTGATGAGCATTATAATTTGTAAAATTCAAACTTAAGAAATAATTAACAAAAGAAATAAAAAAACCACACAAATGGTTCGTTCAGGAGAAGAGAGCTCAGTCGCTGGCATTACAGAATACTAAAATCCGAACTGCCACGTATGAAAACCAGAGTCAAAATCTGTGTTTGATAAGGTAGATTCAATGGTATTCAATACTACATTACAGTCGTAATAATCCATGGTACTGCATACTAAACATGCAGATATACAAAATAAAAGGGAACCGTGAAAGAAACAAAACAAAATTGGCCAGTTCTGTCATTTTTTTTATGGTGATGAGGCTTGTACTGTCGGTTGAGTACAAACTTAGCATTCTAGTTTCAAAAAATAACATACATAAATAAAAAACTCGCATTTCAAAACAGTTGAGAAAGTATAATTTGGCTATAGTTACACCTCATCCTAGTATCTAACAAACTGTCTTGTTTCATCTTCACCTTTCCTACCATACGGATTTTTCTCGCTGAATCCATTCCGACTTCCTTCAACGTTTTTCATCTTCTTCCTGAATTTGGATGTATTGCTGTCTATGTTTAAGTTTACTTTGGGAGGGGAAGTAAAACAGAATGAAGCAGCCACAGCCTGCATATAGCACCAGTTACTGTCATGACACATGAAACAATAAAATGACATTTTGATTGAATTCAAAAACTATGGTAACCCTTAATAGTGCTCTTTACACCCCGCAAGGCCACACCCCATCCTTCAGGAAATGACACGCTTGGCGTCAAGTGATTAAAGAAAGGGTCGCAGGAATATCAGGGCAGTTCTAACTAGAGAGAACTGTACTATTTGTCCCCAGCCAATTGCTTAGGTTCATCCTCACCTTTCCATTCTAGTAGCACAATCAGTCCCCAGTTATGCAAACTGACACCAACTTTGTTAAACTGCTATGTGGCCTATGTGGAAACATACCTCACTACCAATTTCTGGGTAGCAGCCCAAGTTGAGAAGCAAAACAGCTTCATGAAATTGGATATGCAAGGGCCATTTAACAAACTAAAAGAAACTTGGACAGGTCATGTCTTTGGAACTGATTGCGCAATTAAAATGAAAGGTTGCACACCAACTTGCAGGACAACATAAACTGGAAACTCAAAATATCTGTTCATCTCATATTAAAAGCTTGCTTGACCCCATTAAAAGGCTTAAAAATGCATTTTGGAATAGTAGATTGATAGAGAATGTGTGACTAAAAAATAAGAAATTTTTTTGGATTTGCTTGTAATATTATTTTATTGAAGAATGCGTAGTTGAAAAGAAGAAAGAATGTATTTTGAAAATAATGGGGATCAAACAAGGGCTAATACTCTGGTTTATGCTGGGCAGAGAGAGACCATAGTCCCATTTAGTTTTCCAATCTTGTTTCTTTCCTTCAGAAGAATATCTTTTATATTTCACCCTTTTGATTTGTTCCATATTAGTTTGCATCATATTGGAAAAGGACCCTAAACCAGTAAAAGGATCTATCAGAAAATATATCATCTTTGTTGAAGTGTTGGGAACTGAGTGGCTTAGAGCATGTTCAGCCAAAAAACTTAAAAGGTTGACTTAACAAATAATTCTTTTTTAAAGTTAAAGCTGGAAATAAGTTAGTTATTTGTATCAAGGTAAGATTTACTTTCTAATTAAAAGTAAACTTTCTACTTAAAAATAAGAAAACAAATAACATCCAAAAATAACATATCCAATCTTTTAAGCTTAGCCTAACATGCTCTGTGATATATCTAAAAATAGTGATCCATCTTCAAAAAATGTCTATATATAATATATTAATGTCAAACATTGGCAAGATCAAATACCCTGTAAGTTTGAGGGGTATGCAAGAGTTGCAATTATACTGCATTTTAATAAATGCCAAAAAATATATCATGATATACTTATTTGGTAAACAATATCTCCAGAGTAAGTACCTGCATGTCGAGTCGGTGAACATTAAAGATGTCCTTCATAGAATGTGAATTATAAGCTAGTATGTAAGATCTGTATGCATCTTTAGCAGACTTGTTCAAGTAATAATTGTTTGAAACCAGCTTTTCCTGCATCAGTGCATATAATATATAATATTTAATTCCCAGGAACTTGTGAAAACAGCAGAAAAAAGAAATTACTTTAGTAATAAATATAATCAAACGGTTATAAACAAGAATTTACCAGGTGGGATTGCACATTTGCAAGCTTCGTATCATCAAATTCATACTCTTTCACGGGTACTTTTGCAGCCTGAAATCAACAGCGACCATTTTTCAGAACCAAAAGAAAAAAGCTGAAACATTAGCTTCTAATTTAGATGACAACTTTGGCATTGGTAATACAATTCTTGCAACTAAACAGCCGTAAAAATTCACAAAAAAATTGATCCAAGAAGGATGCCACCCAATTTTGTAGTTAATCAACCCAAAAAATTTGTGACTGCCTCAGGTAGGCCTTAATTCTACCCCAAATTTTTTTATTGAGGATCCAACTAATATAGAAGCAAACTACCTTATTATTGAAAATTAATGTTTAAGTTCTCCATTATTTAACCATTATTAGTGAAAAATAAGGTAACCAGGTGAGAACGCCAAATTATTTCTATGAAGGTATATTTTCATTTCACTCTTTCACAGGAAAATACTTGTCTACCTTAAGGTACCGAAGAAAATGCAACTCCTCCGGAATAAGGAAAAGCAGGGCATTCCCTTTTGCACCTTCCCCACGTGCTGTTCGACCAACTCTATGGATATATTCCTGAAAGTAATTACATTAAACAAGGTTTAGGAAAGTTCGAGCATTATTAATCAGGATATCATTTAGAAGGATAGCAGCACCTTAGGGTCATCTGGGGGATCGAATTGTACAATCCAATCCTACAAGAAGAAACAAGAAGAAATCAATGGGTGCCAACATCATAACCAAAATAAAAGAAACATCAGAGCCAATTACATTTGATCTTGTGTACTACAGTAACGTAAATCAACCAAAAAAAGGTTGTCCTGTTTCTTCTATTATACAAGACTACTATTTCTCAATGTTTCAAACGTGGCCAGAGCATTGACCCAAGAAAAGGTAAGGAGTCAAAGGCCAAAAGGTTCAACCATGGTCAAAAATAGGTGGTAAAAAATAAAATACATAAATAATATACTAGGAAAAATTCTATAACAAAATATGACAATTCTCACAATCACCAGTTAGAAGAAAATACAAATCCATTTTGTTAATTGTAAAAAAATTTATTATTACTTAACTTCTTCATACACCTCAAAAATAACACCAATGTCTCTAAACTAAAAAAATATTTTAGATTGTAAAAAATGAGTATATTTCACAACCACGTGGTGGCATTGCTATACATTGAAAAGGATGGTATTAATTCGCATAGGTGCACAGTGGGTTGCATAGGCTCATACTGGTTTGCTGGGGTGTTAAGCCTGAGTTCGTGTTTCCTAAAAGGTAGATTATAAGCTTCTATCAAATCAAAGCCAAACAATAATTTTAGCCATACATACACGAACAAAGGCTACGTGATTCTCACATCAGATAGTTATTGATGGGATGAGGAACAGAAAAGCTTATAAAAGAACCACGATGACTAGCTTGAAAGAATAAGCAGCTAACTAAACATACTTGTTGTGCGTGTGGATATAATAAAAAATTTAATCACAAGTTTTTGTTAATTTTTATTAAGACAAACCAGAAAAACCAAGGACAGTTCACAGCTTAACCTGCCGGGTCACCAATTATTTTAAATATATTTTTAGTAGTCAGTTTACACTACATGACTTAACCAGATTTTGATCCAGTTCATGGTTTTTCCATTCTTTAATTATATATTTATTCCATACACAATCTGTCCAGGATTTTTTTTTTTAACTCTTATTTCCCAGGTAAGTAATATATATCCCCCCACCGGGTGAGGGGGCAGCGTTAGTGTTATAAAGGTGAAGAAGTGTACCACAGCAGGAATATCAAGACCACGGGCAGCAACATCGGTACATAACAAGATACCCTTCTCCACTTTGCAAAAATCAAAAAAGGTGGAAGTTCGTTTCTGCTGCTTTTGCTTTCCATGGTAATCAAAACAATCAATCTGAATGTATCTAAAAAGTTCTGCATGAAATTTGACTGAATTGCACGATGAGAAGAAGACCATCACTTTCTTGTTAAGATTCCTCTTCAAGAAGGAATACAGAAGGATAAATCTTTTGGCACTTGAGACAACACAGTAGCCTTGCTGCAGCCCTTCGTTGGTAACCTATAAATGCTAACATTTAATGAAAAGGGATAACAAAAATATCAGTTCAACTAAAGGAAAAATCAGCCAGTCAGCATACCCGCTTTCTTCCATCATCCACATCAATGTAGACAGGAGTTTTCTGAAATGATAAGCGAGCAAGATCCTCAACCTGAAATTGATAATATATTTCTTGCTCAAGTCCTCCATGCAACAATAATTGAATATCCTTTTTTATTTCCATTATTGATACGGTAAGAAATAAAAGATCACTTCAGCACCAGAACATAAGAATTTACGATGCAGGTAGACATTTTAGGAAGCTAAAAGAAATTCAAAATAAAATCACACATCTTTATTTCTTGCATTCTCTTTGATCTTTATTTTCCAAAAACAACATAAACTACAATTTTCTCTTGTAGAGAAATAAAGGATGTTCCACCAAATCAGTGTTAAAAAACGTCAGGTTTGTATTCATACCTTCTTAGTCTGTGTAGCAGAGAAAAGTGCAGTTTGTCTCTTCTGCATGGTAAGTAGCATCTCAATTAATTCGAAAACAATGAAGATGACAGTAGCATTTAGTTATTTCATACATTGTTCAGCACATATATAGGACACAGAATTTCATAACTCTCAAGGAAGGGAATGGAAATATTTGAGTCAAGCAGAAATGGATTCATCTAATGATGATGAATCGTGTTTGCAATGGATGCCATCATCGAGACAACACGTTAAGCAAGCTTTATCTACCCATATCAGTAAACAACTTTGTACTTTCATTTGGAATTATTTATTGTGCAATTAGCAGCAGAGGTCCTCAATATTTCATAAGTGGGCACTTGAGGTCCCCAACCTGCTATTTTTGGTGGACTTGTTTCCCCAATTCAATGACATTTTGTCCATTTAGCCATTAGACAGTCACATGCCTCTCACATGGTTCGAAGAGCAAGTGGAGTAATTCAAACAAACAAAAAATTCTTCCCCAACTTTCCACCTCCACTGCCCCCACCCCCCTCCTCCTCCTGTCACCCCCTCCCCTACGCTGGAGGAACTCACTGCCAGCAGCCCCCATCATCTTCTTCCCCAAAATCCTGATGAATTAGTATTGCCAAATTGAATAATCTCTTGTTACCCGTGACTGTGAGAACATCAGCAAGAAAGTGAAGCCTTTAGTTCAATATTATCTGTGTAATCAAGACAGCTTAAATCTATTTAGCAGAATGTTTCCTTTATTTCTCTCTCCGTAAGTTCACCAATTAATCACTATTAGAAGTTTCTTTCACAAAATATATAACTTCACTACTAGCTGTTAGCCCAATCTCCAAAATCATGACGAAGGACAATTGGTGGGTATGGGTATGTGGGGGTAGAAGACGAGTGATTTTGATTTTTTTTCATAGATCTTTTCGTTTTTCCTTGCTAGATTAAATTTTTGACTAAAAATAAGAGTATAATTGTTTTTTAAACTAAACGTTATGTACAAAATGTGCGACTTATGAACATCTTTTTTCAACGGAATCCCTTAGTTGGGACTCAAGTACTACAGAAATTGAAGGTTGAGGACTCAAGTTCTCACTTATACAAATGTTGGAGACCTCTGGTGCCAATTTCCCTAATTTATTTAACGGGAAAATCTAATCCACAGGTTACAAGATAACTTGAATTTGATAACAAATACAGCCCACCACTTCAATAATTGCACCATGACGGATCTTATTCAATGTCACCAAAACAGAAATGAAAAAATGAGTCCCCGGGGGAAAAAAAAAACAAACAACCATACTGAAATTTACGCTGCATGCAACTTTCAAAAGATTATAAATCAGATTTCATTCCACTTTTCCACAGAAAGAAAACAAGGAAAAAGAAGGCTGGTGATATTAAATTTTTCATAACCTGAAAAACCAAAAGCAAAAATTTGACTGCATATAAGCCCCCACGAGCATTAACTATAGCTGCAAGTACCTTTGGCAAAATTTTAATGATCTGCTTCATATCATCTTCAAAATTTGCTTCCAAAATCCTATCTGCTTCGTCAATCACGAGGCACTACAAGGTCCCAAAATGTGTTTGAAAGTTAAAGCATTTATAAATATATATAAGCAACGGGAAGAAAAAGAGTAAAGATCTGGATCCTGAATACTTTAAATGTTGTATGATACATATCTTCAAGTACGAGCTAATCCATACTGCATCTTTACTTGTGTACATTGTTCTCGAGTTGAAGAGAAAGGATCTTCTCAACCCAACATGATGTTCATTATAAAAGGTTAAGTTTCTGATAACATTCACCTTTGCATCTTTTTACTATATTATATATTATTGTCTCAATTGTTATACACAAAAAACAAATGAACAAATAAAATTACGCAAAACATATTACTCATTACCATACTAACATATTACAACTTAGATGTATTATTATTTATTTACCATTAAGTGAAACATCATGGCCTTTATCCTGTTATAATACAACTCCTATCCTATGAGACACCCTTGCAGAGCAAAATTCCACTGCCTAGAAGCAAAAGTGGTGATTAAGCGCCTTTAACTAGTTTTTACATCAGACATCATTCTCCAAAAGGTTACCACTAAATTTTTTTGTCACTGCTCTTTGCTAATTGATGCTAATAAAAGGACCCATTCACTGTAGAGAAAGAACCATACTATACTACTAGTAATATTTTGAGAAGAGTCTTTTAGAGAGAATAATAATCAACTATTGTCATTACAACATACTTTTTATCCCAAAAATAAATAAAATGAATTCACTCCATACTATTGTAACAACAATATACATGATATAAATAGATGTGGGGACAGGTAAGATTTAACAGTAGTTACTTGTCTGTTGCGAAACTTCGTGAATGATAGTCAAATTTCAGCAAAGAAAAAATATTTTCATACCCGTAAGCTTTTATATATGAAGCCTTTAGTATTTTGAAGATGGTCAAGAAGACGACCGGGTGTTGCTACTATAAGATTAACTCCTTTGACAATGCGCTCTGCCTCTACTCTTCGTGGGACACCACCAATTACTAATCCAACTGTCTGTGAGTGATACTTGAGGAGGTCTTTTGCCACAGCATGTGTCTGCATCATCAAGATGGAAATCAGTTTAATCACTCCAAAAGTACAAAATGCCAATATATCTCTACAATTGAATGCTAATGAGTCCCCGGTGCATAGCCCACCCCAGGAAAACTATGCACCAGCATACCCAAAAACAGTCACTACGATGTGGGCCCCAAGGAGCTGATGAGATTTGATCACACAACCTAATCCATGGAAATTGGAGTCAGGTGCCATGAAGCCCCAGCTCAAAAATTATATACTACACACACAAAAAGAAAGCTGGAGATGGACTTCCAAGAAATGATGGAACTGGTTGGAGTAGTGTTGTTAACTACTAAAACATGTTTTTCTATAGCTATCAAAATAAAGTCCAAATTAACATCTTATATACCTGCATGGCCAACTCCCTTGTCGGGCAAATGACAACAACGCCAGTCCCATTGCGAGGCTTGAAACTGCCTTGATACAACAACTCAACAGCTGGTACCAGAAAGGCAAGGGTTTTTCCTGAACCTGTCCTTGCAGCTCCAAGAACATCTTCTTGTGCCAAAAGTGGAGGAATTGCCCGAGCTTGGATCTTCAATAACAGTTAATCAAATTTAGGAAGATAAATTCTTTCCTCTCATCAATGTAAACCCAATTAGACAAATTATGCTCAGCAAAATATGCACATTATAAAACAAAATAAATTTCTAAGGGACTAAAGATGCGAAGCAGTAAGGAAACAACAGATATTGACGTGGGATTAACCAATAGAACAAAATAACGTTGACAGAAAAAAATCAGGGATAAAAACTGAAGGCAATTGATAAAAATAAACAAACTAAATTTAAACTAATAAATACAGATTACACCGAAACATTAGCTAGGGTAACAATTAATTCCCATCTTTTTTACCTCAGTCATGTACTGAAAACCAGTGTCCTTGATGGCATTCATTGTAGGTTCGGATAAACCCAGAGACGCAAATGTCTCCGTACTCATAATCCCAGACCCACTTCGTATCGTCATCTCTCTCTTCACCTCCACTTCTTCACTTTCCTCTGCTTCCTTCTCTTTTTGCTCCGTCTTCAATTTTTTCTTGCTCTTTTTCCTTTTTTCTCCAACTTGTGCCTCTTCTTCTGCTTTCTGTTCTCCAATTTCTTCCCTTTCATCATCGCCTCCTTGTGTCAAGTATTCCTTATTCGCTTCTTCGCGTTCTGAGTTTTCGGGTTGAGAGGTTTTTTTGTTCTTTTTGTCCCTATTTCTTTTTCGCTTCTTCTTTATGGAATCCATAACTTCATTGTTTGGGATTTTCTCAATCCCCGCCATTGTTGTTGTTGCGGCTGAGTTCAGGAGAGAATTCCAGGAGAAGAAGAATTGAACGGCTGATGCAAAGGTTTGGTTCAAGGGTTTTATGATGGGTTTTGTGTTGAACCTTTTTGAAGCCTAGGTAAGTTTCAACAAATGAGCGGTTGCAATGGGCCGAGCCGGCCCATTTAACATTTTCCTATAGGTTTTTTAGTGGAAGTTATGTGGTGGCAAGTTTTTGAAAATTGCATTTCAAAAATCAAGTTTAAGATTTGTTTATTCAAAAATCAAATCATAATTCAGTTTTTAATATTAATAATAATGTTATTAATAAATACTCTTTTCTTTCCATGTTCGAGGCTATTAAATCATGTTTTCAACCAAATAACAAAGTCCAAATTCCTTTGATCAGGTGAACATCGGCATCTGAGGCCTTTTTTTAAGTCATATAGGCTTCGATGATTTATGCACATATATTTGTCCCATGATACGTGGGGGCGTAATGGTACCCCTTTCATAGGTGATGTCGCATCTAGTTAACCCATGCTTATTTCAATACGTAATATTAGTCCCTCAAATTTAAGTTTCATAATAATATAAATTGAAGGATTTTTTTATGTTCCTTTGCCCCTAATGCTGAAACCTTTGAACTCTAGTTTTATCACACCGAGCGGAGATCGAAGCATAGTAGATCGACTTCTATGGATTCCAAAACATATATGTAGGATGAAATCAGAAGCTTGGATAGTTGAGTGGCTTTGCGTTTACGTATATGCTTTCAACATGAGATATTTGACCTCGTATATTTTTTCAATCTAGGGCTTTTTTTCTACGAGGAGTGCTCTTTCAATTCATGATAGTTTGGCTTCTATTGATTTTGAGGCTTTTATGTTGAAGGGAATCTGAAACTCGTAAATTTTTTGCTCTGTTCTGGAGCTTGTAGATGCTTGGCACCATACGTATTTCGAGACATTTATGTCATGGGAAATCTGGAGCTTCTAGATGCTTGGCTACATATGCATTCAGGGGCATTTATGTCGGAGGAATATAAAGTTTGTAAATGCTTGGCTTCATATGTAGTTATGTAGACATTTATGTTTGGGGGAGTTTGAAGCTTGTATAATGATCAGCTTATTGTTCATTTCAAGGCATTTACCCTAGAGAGAATTTTCTTGAGGCATTTTAGTTGATAATTGGCGTCTTATATATTCAAGAGACGTTTTATGTTGTAGGAATCTTCCTGAAGCGATTAAATCGAAGGGAATATAGCGCTTGTACATGTTTTGGATCCATATATATTTCGAGACATTTATATATGAAGGATGAGGAGGAGGGTGTCTACTACCTCCATTGTGATTTCTTAGCTATCAGTCGAAAGTAGTGAGGAATGGGTTGAAGATTGTGCTAGTCGACAACGGGACCTTGACCAACATTACCTTTAGGTCCGCTTTCGATCAAATGAAGGT